GCTGTTTCCTGAGGCAGCCCATTCCATTTTTGGACAGCTCTAATTATGAGGAAGTTTTTTTTCATTTTTCTGAGTCTAAATTTTCCTTTTTGAGACATCTACCCATTCTTTTTTAGTTCTGCCCTCTGGCATCAAGCAGAAAATGTCTAATCCCTTTTCCAGCTGGTAAGCCCCTTTAGATTTAAAGACAGCTACTATACATTTCTCATATGTCTTCCTCAAATCCCCCAAATCTAGGATGAATATCTCAATTTCCTTGTTTCAATATCTGTATAGAGCATGATTCAAAACCCTTCAACATTTGAATTACCCTTCTCTAGATAGTCTTCAGTTTCGTATTATGTGATATCTATAGCCAAATGAATACCACAGATGTATTCTGATCAGTGAAATATATTATGATTCTCAGCAATCTGCTCCTGGACCCTTTTGTCTATCCTAATGTAGTGTAACACACACACACACACACACACACACACACACACACACACACACACTCTCTCTCTCTCTCTCTCTCTCTCTCTCTCTCTCTCTCTCTCTCTCTCTCTGTCTCTCTTTCTCTTTCTTTGTCTCTCTCACTCTCTCACTCTCTCGCCCTCTCTCGCCATATCGTACTGTTGATTTATAATGATTTTGGAGTTCGCTAAAAACCTTTTAACTTTTTCACACCAATAGTAAGTCTTCCTCATGTTAAACTTGTTGAATTTTTTAACTTATTTTAGCCTTTTAATTTCAGTTAATTATATTTAACTCAGTCTTCTAACCTGTCATGATCTTTTTGAATCATGATTCTGTTTTCCAGTATGTTAACTATCCCTCTTAGCTTTGTGTCCTCTGCAGATTTCATAAACATTGTATCTATGTCTTTATTCAAGTTCTTTATATATATATATATATATATATGTACACATATATACATATATATAAAAAGCTAAAACACTATTGGATCTATGACAAATTCCTGGGGTATATCACCGAAGACCTCCTTCCAAGCTGACATGGAATCATGATGACCAACTGCACTGGACAGTCTCTGACAGTGACCCACACTTTTGGCAAGCATAAATCATGTTATGCTGCATTATGTATCACTTGATATTAAGTATCTGAAGGTTATAAACATTTTTTTCTGTTTCTTTTTTATATTACTTTTAAATGTGTAGTAACTGACTTAATCACTTGGTAACTACTTATTTACCCTTTTCATATGTGTTGGGAGTGTATGCATGTGTATGTGTTCATGTATGGATGAATGCATGATTTTCAGAAATATCCCAGATACATCTATTTTGTTAAATGCCTATATTTTCTCATTGATGAGAAGACTCAGATTTGTAAACCATGTCATTTTGGGTTGCTGTTTTAACTCCTTTGCTTTTTGGACTAGTGCAAGGTGTTCCAAAAATCTTAGAGCGATTAGCTTAAAGCTGAACTAAGAGTTTTCGAACACCTTGTATTATTCCATTTCACTTTATAGTTTTAAGTGGTTTATGTTGACTTGCCTTTCCTTTATATTTGAAGGTCTCTTGGTCACTTGCAGAATTTGTTGTTTATCATTGGAATTGTTAAATTTAACCACTATGGAATCATGTATTCTTTCAATTGGTGCTTTCTTTTCTACATTAATAAGTTCAGGACAGACTGCTTCTTGCATTATGATAATCAGGTTTTTTGATTTGTAGTGTTATTTTAAGAGTACTATGATCTGGAAGTTGTTTCTGTCCAGCCTATCTTTGAGACTTTGGCTTGTATAGAGATAATGATTTTTAAAAAAAAAAAATTTTTGCTTGTTTTCCAGTTTTAATTTCACTCTGACATTTTGTATTATAAACCAATTTATCTCTCTTTTGTTTCTTAGGAAGACTTTTCTAGTCTGCTTATGGAATTTAAAAATACTACATTTAGATCTTTATCTTATGACATTTTCTTTCCTGTTTTTTTTTAGTAGATTTCATTCTCCTTTTGAACTATTCTAGAATTTCTTGTTCAATGGTGTCTTGACATTCTACAAGATTGTTTCATCAAGCATTGATTCACTTCCCATTGTCTTATAATATAATTCCTAGAAGGTTGAGAGCTTTGTAATCTCTTTGATGATTTAATGCTCATCCTTCTAATTTTATTAGCATCTTCATTGTTAATCTGCTGGTATTCTGGATTTTTACTGAGTTTTCTTCTTGTAAGCTTTGGTGTGTCAGTGTTTTTACCTTTCATTACCCACTTATTTCCTACTTTCCCGGTGGATAGACCCCATGGATAGAGGTGAATAAAGGGTTGGACTGAAAAGGTATATTAGTCTCCTGCCATTTTGTGAGATTTACATTTCATTAGCCCTTGGTCCTTAGTAAACTGGGGAGAAGGGACAATATTGCTCCCAACTGAGTTTGCATTTCCTAAATTCCTTTGTAGCCACTTAACATTAGACTCCTTCACCAGTTCCTCTCCTGGTTCACATCTTTTCTTTCTCTGCCTTTTTTTTTTTCTGGGGACTGCTGCAGGCAGAGACAGCATGCTTCCCTATTTTCCTTCTCCCTCATTCCTAGAATCAGTGTCGCCTGCTTTTTATTTTCATTTTTTTTGGGGGGGGTTGTTGTTTTTTGTTTGTGAGGGTGAAGAAATTAGTAATTGAAGGGATATATCTGCAAAGTCTGCAGCTGGAAAGAATGGGCCACAGGTATTAGCCTGAGGTTGTTTTATGTACCCCTTATGGCAGTGTGGTGGGAGAGAGGTGTTAAGTGAATTCTTTAAGGATTAGTGGTCTTCAGTATTCATTCATAAGAATTTTCCTGTATCTGGATTTTCTCTTTTGTCTAATATATTCAGTTTTAATTATTCTTTATAATACTTCTTGGTGAGTGAGTGGGGGGCAGCAGGAGATAGGTGTTGAGAGTTAATGAGGATTGGGGAAAGTATCTAGTCCATTAGCTAGTGAGTGACCTGGAAGTCTCAAACAATATTATCTCAATATTTTATATCTTTGGAAGAGATTTATAAAATTTTCACATCTGCATGGAGGACCAAAATATAAGTGTATATTAAGTGTTTAAATGAGAAATACAAAAAACAAATCTAACAAGAAAATGCTTGTATTAGTTGAAAAAATGACAGTTGAATTTTAGGGATGTAAAGTTGGTTGGCCTTTGGAGGCCACTTTTCATTTCTTCCCTGTTATTTTCATAGCTTCTTTTTGACTACCATTTGTTTTACTACTTAATTATTAATTTTTATATTACTTAATTCTTTCTCATGTGAGATGTCTTGGCTTAGACATACTAGGGACTTAGAGCTATTGTTAGGAATGTTGAATCAACATTTGTATTTGTCATAATCTTATCATAATAAGTTGAAGTTTACAAAACACATTTCATTTTATCCTTTTGAGTAGTATCCTCATTGTAGATAAGGGAAGTGAATCCTAAGCAGAATTAATAATGTGACTTGCCCAAGGACATATAGCTAGTTATCAGAGCCAGGATTTCAGGCTTCCAGTTCCAGATCTGAAACTTTTCACATTGCTTCACAGTTACAGTTTTTTCCTTTAATTTTTTCTCTTATGTTTTCATCCTATTTAATACTTTATTATGCATGAACTTATTTTGAATTTTTTTGTTACCTGATTTGACTCACTTGTACTTATCCTTCTTTATCTTTGTATATACTAAATCATTAGAACTGAAAGGGACTTTAGGGATAATTTTGCCCTAATTCCTTCATTTTGTAGACAAGGACATTAAGATCTAAAAGGGGAGGGGAGAGTAATATGACAGTGATTTTATCAATATCACATAGTGAAATAGTGGCAAGAGTAGGACTGGAACCCAGGTTTCCTAGTTTGTAGTCCAGTACCTTTTCTAGTACACTGTGAACTTAGAGCTTTGGTTTTAGGTCAGATGGAGTTGAAATGTTTCCCTTTTGAGATTTAGAAAATCTTAATGTAGAAAAAGGTAATTTCATTCTCCCCCTCCCCCTTCCCCCTGCCATGTACTCCATTTTGGTGAGATTCTTATACAGACCCTCTAAGGGTAAAAGGGGGTACATGATGATAAGTAAATATGATGATTGCTCTACTCATCTTTGGTAGACTCACGACTCTAGTTACTGGGGGTTATTTAGGTATGGGCTTTTACTCCCAATTTCCCCTCTGTAGCAAAGGTTTATCTTTATATATCACTTACTTTATATATCACTCCTTGTCAACTTTCCTTTGTTGCATAAAGGACCTGAACTGTCTCCCAAAATTAAGATAAGGCTTGAGTGAATGAGGGTGAATGTGGTCCAGTCTTGGCTTTTCTTCTCTTTCTTTTTCTTCTGTTAGCCCTTTCTTGTTTACCATCTTGAATGTACTGTGGAGGCTGGGTCTTTCACATAGTCTTGTCTCTCTGCACTGCCCCCCACTTCATTTATGTGGGTATGTATGTGCACATGCATACATATATGTACACATATTCACACAGGCATTTTATTTCAAAATGGGGTTTCCCTCTAAAAATCACTTCCTCTCCCTGAGGTTTGGTTTCCTCATCAGGAAATGAGAGAGTTAGATTAGATCTTCTCTGAGGTCCTTTTTCGCTCTAGATCTATGATCTTAGGATTTTTTTTTCAGGACAGGAAAAGTTTAACAATCTGTCCTAAAATGCTTGATTTTGTCATTTAAAAAAAAACCCCACTTAAAATTATAAGAATGTAGGATAAAAACTGTTGGTGTATTTTGCTTATAAGACTGTCATTCTTAATAGCTGTCTCAGTCAGGTTTCCTGATTCTTAAAATCAATTCTGCTCTAACACTGTACTGAGAAATGACTGTAGTCTGGGTGTGATCTTACTGATGTTTCCCTTCTATTTGTTATGGTTCCTAGATCCCTATTTTTTTCCTTACCTACATAGATTTCATTTTTTACTTTGTAATTCTTCTAAGATGTGATTTGTTACTGATATTTAATAATCATTTCTGTATTTTTCTTATATTATGTCTTCCTTTCCTCACCCCATATTTTGTATAGGTCTTGTTCAGCGCTGTGTGATTATCCAGAAAGATGACAATGGATTTGGGCTGACGGTCAGTGGAGACAATCCGGTCTTCGTACAGTCTGTTAAAGAAGGCAAGCAGTTCTTTACGATCATGTTGATAATAGTGTTTTGCTTCTTAGGAAGTAAAGGGGTAAGATTAGAAAAGCTGGATTCATGTCCCACACTTCATTTTTTTTTTTTGAGATAGACTAACTTGTATCCATTACTACATTAGGTAAAGTGTGGACTCACCTAAGGTGAAATTATCTCAATGTTTGTTTAATGTTTTAGAAGAAATAAGAAATTTTTGTTTATTGTTTAGAAAAAGTATAAATGTATATATACACATATAAATATACACATATACTTCTGTTTGCATCTATGCATATATATCTGTCTATCTCATATCTCAGATTAGACCTGTGATTTAATTATTATAGGCAGCTTTTAATGAGAAAACTTTCTGTACCAGTACAGATTAGCACCAGTTCTGCAACTTGTGGTTGTTTGGAAGAATGAGAGGTTAAGTAACTTGTTTGGTGTTATATAGCTAATATATGTGAGAGACTGGCCTTAAACTTAAGTCTTCCTGGCACTGAGATATGCTTTCTATCCAGTAGTTCTCACTGCTTACCTATGTGAGTACATGCACGTCTGTGTGTACGTGCACATATACGTGTTTGAATGTTATGGTATGGTGGCCATAATACAGTGTGCTGCTTTACCTATGGTGGAAAAGCTGGATTCTTGTCATTTCGTTTATTTGTGACACTTGTGAATTGTTTTTTACAAAGACATCTTGAATAAAGCACAGACTCAAGAATAATTAAGACCATTTTACTGTTCATTGAAATTAAAGAAATGAATTCAGTTTTGCATTTACATTTTACATTCATTTACAAATGAACACAATTTTACATTTCTTTAGATGGAGCAGCCATGCGGGCTGGAGTACAAACAGGTGATCGAATCATCAAGGTGAGGAAGACTTTTTTTGGTTGACATTTTGCTGAATGATACTTCTTATGTACTTATGTACTTCTTGACTAGTGGTTTCTTAAATAACAACCCAGTTGCATATCATGCATACATTATAGCTAAAAAAAAGGATTGATTTGATGTATTTGAGTTCAGTTCAGTGAATATTTGTTAAAGTTTTTACTATGAATAAGATATTGTGATAGGAGCTAATAATAAAAAGATTAAACTAAACATTTTCCAGTCCTCAAATAATTCATATGACCTGGTAGGAATTTGTTGGAAAATGTTTTATTTAACAAAATATGAGAAAGCACCTAAGATTTAGAGCCTTTGGATAACACCTAAATTCAGAATGTTTGAAAATGAACTTGTTGAAATGTTTATAAGTTATGCTTTTGGGGGGAAATGTATTATTTTTCTGAAAATATTATTTACTTCTTTATCTTTTTATTTTCTTATTTGACATCTTGGGTGTGGAGTTTGTTCATGTGAAAAAACAAAAATGTTTCTTCTTTGCAAGTACTCTTTACTCTGAGATTTGAAAGTTCATTGAGTGGTGTCTTCTTGTTTGAATAGAATGTAATGTGCTTCACCACAAGAGACCATATCTTAAGCTCAGATTCATAAAAATCTCTTCATATCTCCATTATATTATGGATATTTTGCAGTGTGTGTGCAAGGTTATAGATGAATGTTCATATCCTTTACGCCATTGTAATGAATCAGATATACCTACTTTCCCCTCTTTTTTTTCTAATAGGTAAATGGAACTCTAGTTACTCATTCAAACCATTTGGAAGTGGTGCAGCTTATCAAATGTAAGTAAATGTTAATGACATTTTTAATTTGACATTTCCTGAAACATTTAAGAAATGTCTGTGTCTGAGCAAAACTACTAATCTGCTGATAGCTTTTTATGCTATGGGTCCAATATATGGAGTTCTCCACGATATGCTAGTTGACATAGTATTGGAAACATATCTGAAAGAAATGTAGTATGCTTTAGAGAATTTCCTGGGGGTGGGGAAAGAGAAGTTGAAAGGAAATGGAAGATTATGTTGAATGATAAACTAAACTAGAAGGGATCTGAGAGATCATCTGATCTAGACGCTTTTTTGCTCAAATGAATGTCTAAACCATATAGATCTAAGAATCATCAATATAAAGATAATAGTTAAAGCTATGGAAGCTGAAGAGGTTACAAGGAGAGTATAGAACAAGGGTTCTTAATCTGGGGCTGTGGACTCCCAAAGAGTCTATGAATAGATTTTAGGGATTCTGTGAACTTAAATCTTTTAATGTTTTGTTAACTCTATTTCAACATAATTGGCTTCCTTTGAAATTTTATATATGTATTTTGTTCATTTATAAACATTATTCTAAAAAGGGATCCATTATGGTTACCACACTACCAAAGGTGGCAATACCCCCCAAAAGTTAACCCCAAGTATAGAGGGAGAAGAGAAGTGCCTTGGAAGAACCTGGGGGAACATTTATAGTTAGGGGGCATGATGTTTGGATAATGAACCAGCAGAGGAGACTAATGTAGGAGGAGACTAGCAGAAGAGTATAACATCATGAAAATTCAGAGAGGAAAAAGTATCCACAAGAGAGAGGGTGATCAATAGTATCATATACATAAGTCATGAAGGATTAGGACTAAGAAAAGATTAAATTTGATAGTTAAGAAATCCTTGGGGGCAGCTGGGTGGTACAGTGAATAGAATGCTAGGTCTGGAGTCAGACTTATCTTTGTGAGTTTTAATTTGACTTCTGATAGTTACTAACTTTGTGACCCTAGGCAAGTGACTTAATCCCATTTGCCTCAGTTTCCTCATCTGTAAAATGAGCTGGAGAAGGAAATTGCTAGTCACTCTAATATCTCTGCCAAGAAAACCTCAAATGAGGTCATGAAGAGTCTAACATGATCAAAAAACAGCAGATCATTGATAACTTCAGAGAGAGCTCTTTTAGTTGCATGATTAGTTTAAAAGCCAAATTGAAAAGAGCTAAGGAGTGAATGAAGGGAGAGAAACTAGAGGCAGCAAATGTAGACAACTTTTTTACAGATTTTGAATGAGAAAAGGAAGAGAGATATAGCATGATAGTTTGAAGGAATGATAGGGTATAGTGAGGATTTTTTTAGGAAGGGGGAGATTTGGAAATGCTTGAAGGCAGTAGGAAATGAACCAGTTCATAGGAAGAGTTTGAAAAATCAAGAAGAGGAAGGTATGATTGAGGATGCAGTCTGCTGGAGAAGGCAGGAGATATGATCAATAAGGAGTTGGCTTAGCAAAGAGAAGGGCTACCTTGTTGTCAGAGGTGGGGGAAAAGGAGGTAATTCCTTTAAGGTAAAGAGGAGGCTCAAGTTGAATAACCTCCACTAAAGTTGGCTGCAAGGTTCTCACCTTGGGGAGCTGTATGAAGGAAAAGAAAGTTTAGAATAGCTTCTGTGGGAAGTGAGATAGGAATTCAAGTAGCACTAGCTTGTTTCAGTGAGAGGCCGTTTGAGGTTGGAGGACATGAGATTGTCATGTACCCAGTTAGCACAATTGTAGGATTTCCTCCAGGTTTATTCAGCATCTTATGAGTAGGAGCAGAAAAGGGTGCTGAGAGTAATCCCAGGCAGATGTTTTACAGAAGACTGATGACAGGACAAAGGAGGCAGGAGGTTCAAGAGAAGAGGACAGTGAGGAGTTGAAATGACCAGCTATTAGATTGAGTTTGGAGAGAGAGTAAAGAAAGATCAAGGTTAATGGCTTGAAAGTACTGAGGAGTAGAAGAAATGGAGATCTTCAGTGAGGCTGAAGAATAGATGTGGGGGGGAGTAGCATGGAAAGAAGTAGAATGATAGGAGGTTTGGTCAGGTAGCTGAATGTCATTTTCTAATTTGGGAGGTGAAGTACTTGCAAGTAATGGCAATATCTAGTGTGTGAACATCTCTATATGTGACTGAGATGAAGTGAAGAAGTAGTTTATGGGATTTAAGGAAGTTGAAGAAATGGGAGGTCAGAGAGTTTGAGGAAGCATTTACATCAGTATTAAAAGTCCCCTAGTATAAGGGAAGGAGTTAGGGAGTAGAGGAAGGTGGAGAGTCAAGTGCTGCATTCCTTAAGAAAGAAGGAAGAATGAACTGGGAGCTAGTATTTTACAGCTACCATAATTTTGACTGAGTGGAAAATTTTAATTACGTGGACCAGAAAGAGGAAAGGTTGCTGAGTGAAAGAGGCAGAGGGAGAGTCTAGAAAAAATAAAGAGGAGCAAAGAGTATTCCAAGTCCTGTCTTCTCTCATCTCTCCTGCCCTGGACCAAAGTTACAGGCCAGGGTAGGAATGAGAGAAGGTACAGCCTCTGCTGGAGAAAATAGCCTTGGATCCAGCGTTATTATATGAGAGAGGGCTTTGTGAGATCTAATCAATGCATCAATAAAGCATAAAAAAGAAGTCCAGAATAAAGGGGAGTTTGTTTGCTATGGAACAGGAATTCCAAAATGTACAATGGAAGGAGTGGGCCAGGTTGGGTTGGGACATGGATGGAGTTTGGTTAAAGAGGATGAGGATAAAAGAACATGAAGAGGGGACAGGGGACAGTTTTCTCCTAAATGAGAAACAGGAGAGGCCATATGAATAATAGTGGCAGTCAGATGGGGAGAGAAGCTCACAGTCCCAAAGGGTCAACACCCAACATAAAGATCTGGGGCAGCCTGGGAGGCTGGAAGAGTAGGGGGCCAGTTGTTAGAGGTGGGGGGAAGGGGGACAGTGGTGTTTCAGGGTTGTCAGAAGGTGCTAATCAGTAGTCAAGCTTGGATCTTGGTTTGGCCCAAGTCTACCAGGTGGCCTTGCTGTCCTCCTGGGTGGCTGGTGAAGGGGAATGGAGCAAGTGTTTATTTCATTGGTGGGTAATAGGCCATGGTATCCCACCAGGCAACCAGAATTACTTTTAATTTAATCCCATTTCCTCTTAATAGTAGGCATGGATAACACTAGTCACCTTCTGGCATGGGACTAGATAACTTGTTAGGTGCTTCCCAATTCTAGGTCCCATGATTTTATGAATCTTACTTATATAAAGTGTCCTTTATATATTGAAATCAATAGTTCACTCGTAGAATCATAGACTGTTAAACATGAAAGTGTTCCTAGTCTGATGCCCTTATTATGTAGATGAGAAAATTTAGGCTAAGAGAGTTGAAGTCAATTGTCTAAGCCAGTGGTGTCAAATCACATAGAAATGGATCCCTGCTGGCCATATATTGACTTAGAAAACCACAAATTAACATTATCTGTATTGTATTTTTAAATTTTATTTTGATAAACATTTCTGAATTACATTTTAACGTGGTTCCCATACTTGGAGTTTTCAGGCTGAGTTTAACACCTGATCTAAGGTGATACAACAAGTAGTAGAGCTAGCATTAGGTCTCCTGGCTTCCAGATCTGGACTCTTTGCACTACAGAAGTCTTACTGAATACCTTCATTGCTGCCTTTTCTTGAAGCCAAACAGGCCTAATTCCTTTTATTTTTTTTTCTCACAGTCCTTGCTTTCTATCCCTTTTATTGCTTTTCTCCTGATCTTCTTCACATCATTTTATAAATATATTAACTAAAACTAGACACTACAGCTTTTTTCATAGTGGAACTGTAGGTAATGCCTTTCTTAACTTAAAGCTTCATCTTTCCAAAAGCCATCTGAGAATGAGGACTTGAGCAAAAGTGGTCTCTGAGCAACCAAAATGCATGCTGTAAAGTAGCTTATACATTTTAATTATAGTAGAGCTCTTTACTCAGATCCTGCTTGCTTTGACATAATTCTAGCAGAACAGATTATTTTCCAGCTCTTAAGAGACCAAAAGCATCAGATTAGAAAGGGAGGAGGAGAAAGGGATGGGTAAGGGTTGGGAATTACCCCTACTTCGGAGAGGAGCTATAAGTGCCCGTACTTTTTGTATATATCATATACAAATTGTAAACAAAAGAATCTGGCACACTGAGAGGAGTAAGTAGTGACAGGTAGTGCCTAACAAGGAGCAAGGATACAAACCCCCCCCCCCAAAAACCCCAAAACCCCACAACTATAGAAAGGCAGGGATGAGGAGAAAGTACATTCTAAGCTTGTGGAACTCCCTGTGCAAGGCTATGGAGATGGGAAATGGAATGTAGTATGTAATAGACAATAGCTGGTTTGGATGGACTCACAAATACATGAAGGAGAATAATGTGCAATAAAGTTGGACAGGAAGGTGGGAACCAGATTGTGAGGGCCTTTAAAAACCAAATCAAACAAATTGTATTGTGTCTTAGAAGTGAGAAGGAGCCAGCGAAGCTTCTTGAGCAGTTACATGTCAGATACTGAATTATGAAGAAAAATTTAAATAATGTATTGCAAATAAGAAGATAACAGAGAAGTTTAGAATATTTTAGAAATATTCCTATAAAATGGCAACTAAAAATTACAACTTAGTAACCATTGGTTACCTTTAAGATACATTTATGTGGAAATACTACATTTCCCAGAAATACCAGATAAATGAGTCATTGATTTATTTAGCTAATTCATTCACATCATACTTTTTCTCCCAAGATCTTTTTCTGCTCTACTGATGCCTTACTAGTATTTTCCCATCCTTTATTTTCCTTTTGGTCCTAAGTATACCATCTTGTATTTCTCTGTTGTGTTTCTTACCAGTTTTGTGACACCATTTCACCAGTTTGTGAAAATCATTTAAAATTGGTTCACTGTCTTCCAGAATTTTAGCAACCCTACCTAATTTGGTACTTTGATATGTAGGTTCATCTGTGTGGTACTCTTTCCACTGGTGCTGATCACCACCTATTCATGTCTTCTTTTTCAGTGTGATTATTTTCCATATCTTTCCATAAATTCTCAATAAAGAATCAGTCCATAATTCTGGGTAGACAGAAGCCTGTATTGTGTGTTTAATATTTCATGGAGGCCAATACAACACTTGCATTACCTGTCTCTTAGGTATTACTAAATGACTGACCACCTCCTTTCCCAGTTATATATGTCTTAGCAGATGTCTTTATATCACTTTTTTCATGTGTCTTTGTGGGTGATATACCCTGTACTGCTTAAATCCAACATATGTCTTCCCATTGATCTTTGGGTCACCTTAACATTTGATCCTCCTGAAATTTCACAAATAATAGCATTTAATGTCACTGAGAGTACACTGGTGTTAAATAGATGTATTTTGACAAGAGAGAGCTACTTGGGGTCATTGTAATCATTGACTATGCTATTCAGCTTTCCAAATGTTTTTTGGCCTATTTGTTCTTCCTTTTCACTTCTGGGCCTAGCTCACTGACCAACTGTGTGTGTGTGTCTGTGTGTATACAAACATGTCTGTACATAGGCATGTATTTGTGTGGTGTGTAATTACACACACTGACTTACTTTTAAAAAAATAGGCTATCCATTTAACTATGAGGCATAAACTGAAAATGTTCATTCTTTATCTGCTTGTTTTTTCCTGTATGGAATGCTTAACTAATCTCCTAAGGGGCCATGGATCTCATTCTGGAGGGTCTAAATAATGGTCCATGGCTTGATATAATTAACACAGTCTCTGAATGGGCAGCCACATGGCACAGTGAATAGAGTGCTGGGCCTAGAGTCAGGAAGACTTGAATTCAAATTCACTCTCAGACACTTATTAACTTTGTCATCTTGGGCAAATCACTTAATTCTGTTTGTTTCGGTTTTCTCATCTGTAAAATGACCTGGAGAAGTAAATGGCAAACCACTTCAGTGTCTTTGCCAAGAAAATCCCAAATGGGGTTATGAAGAGTCAGACAAAACTGAACAGCAAATAATATCTGTGGAAAGCAGTATGTGGAGAACACTGTTATATAGAGAGATACTCTTGCATTTGGACTTTATGTGGGACATCATTCATGACAGTAGTAACAATATTTATTGGCATATGTGTTCATATGTTAAGCATTATTTGGTATTGATAAACATGATCATTGATAAAGATTATCTTTGTGTTCTCATTCATCAAGGAATCATCTATGATCTGTCATTCGCATAAGAGACATTCTTTTTCAGGAAAGCTTTAAAGCTGAATTTTATTCTACCAAGATGAATGCATTTTGGCAATCAGATCTTGTATTCTATACACCTCTCAGTTATTTGAGAGGCAGTGTTGGAGTTAGGAGAAACCTGGGCTCAAATATCACCTCCAACATTTAGTAGTGTGACCATGGATAAGCCCGAAACTCTGGGATTCAAGAAGGAATTGAGAGACAGTGTGGTAGTAGAAATAGTATTTGCTTTGGAGTTGGAGGACCCGAATTTTAATCCTAACTCTGCTTTTTACTACCTATATGACCTTGGGCAAGCCACTTAATCCCTCTGGTTCTCAGTTTCTTCCTCTGTAAAATGGCGGGGTTATGCCAGATTAGTTGGAAAGGTCCTTTCCAGCTCTAAATATGTAATCCTTTAATCTATTATCTATTTCACACTTTTCAAAGTTAACAGTTGAAGATGTAATTGCAAAGATACACAGTGTCTTCATTTTTTCTTCTAGTTTGGTACTAATTTGACCATACTTCTAACCAGTTGACCTCATTGTATACACAGTTGATTCTTAAATGACTTCTACACTGGTAGCCAGTCACTGTAACTGGCTTGTTATAAGATATGAGTTCTAAGATAAGTACTAAGAAATAGTTGGCTTCATTTTCTTGGCAATATTTTTAAAGTATCATAACATCTAGACCTAGAAGGGACCTCAGAGGCCATCTAATCCAACCCTGTCTTTGTCAGTGAGGAAATTGAAGCCTAGAGGGGTTAAGTGAATTGCCCAAAGTCCCATAGTTAATGTCAAAAGTACGATTTGAACACAGGTTCTCTGACTCCATAGTCAGTGTTCTTTCTACCATCTCAGCTGCCTCTCTCCTTTAGCATTTACTGTATCTAGCTCTCTTTATGAAGCAGACATTTGTGATACATAGTTCTGAGGTTTCTAATTAACATACAAACCTTTAGCCTCTTTTATTTCTTAATCAGAAACCATGCTTTCCAACATATTTTTTCTTGTTTTATACTGTGCCCACATTTACATTAAATTCCCAGGGTTATCAAGATATATATTTATTTGGTTTGAAGGATCAGGTCAACTTTTCTTTAGAATTCTCTTTTTCCTCCACAGTGAATGTTGACACAAATTGCAAATGGTTTCATGGCCAGACCTTTTGCTAAACTCTTTATTAGTTCTCTAGAGAAAAATGACAAGTATCCCATGAAATATTTCTTGTTGCCTTTAGATGATGAAACATGATGAAACTAACCCTATCAGTTCTTTTATTCCCCCTCTAAAGAGCATCTATAAACCATATGCCCATATAGCTGCAACTTGTTTTGTCTTTGGCTTCATTTCTTATGATAATGTCAGTATGTATGTGGTTCAGTTCTTAGCACATTGATAATTTTTGTATCCCTAGCACAGTACCTAGCACGTAGTAGGTTCTTAGTAAATGCCTAATGAGCAACTGATTAGATGAGGATCTCATACTTAAAATACCAACAATTAATGTTACTAGAAGGTAAAAAAGCCAGATAGACGATCATTGGTTTCCTGTGTCCCCTTTTCTTTTCATTCTAATGTCTTCACTGTAGAAACAAAAAGGGATAGCATAAGACAGAACTATTTTGTTTTGATGTCTGCTTTATGGGTTTCCATGGTCAAATAATTTATCAGCTTCTTGTCATCCTCCTAGTGAAAAGTCCTTTTATACTTAGCTGGGATGGTCCTTAGCATACATAGTCCTTTTCTGGGACTATACTCAAAGTCTTTTTAGCTTGATTGAACCTTCTGAGGCTTCTGCTGAGGCTTCTAACTTTCAATAACCCAGGGAAACTTCTGCAACATAAGACATCAGAATAAGACTTGTGAAATCTGAAGTTTTGATGGCTTGCTCTTTCAACAGAGACAATGGTATTTCAAATTCCCTAACTCTTCTGTGTATGATTTTTATTCTCTTTTGATTTCAGCTGGTTTCAGAGTTTAATTTATTGACTAGAACATATCATTTACTCTCTAAGAGTTAAGAGATTACAGAGCCCCCCTTTTTAGAGATGCTTAATAGATGATAATATCTTCTGCTGTAGCAAATCCTTTCAGACCTGAGAAATAAAGATGTTCATTTTTCCACGTGCCTGTATGTATGAAGAAATGTGGTAAAACAGAGCACTGGACTGGGAGCCAAGAGATCTGGGTTTTAATATCTGCTTTGCCACTATGTAATTGTGTGATATTGGACCAGTCACTTAATGTGGCTAAGCTTCTTCAGTGTTCTCCCCTAGAAAATGAGAGATTTAGACTAGATGACTTAAGAAGTTCCTTCTAGCTCTTAATTATTTGATTGTAAAGCTTATTATTATCAAATTTTGTGACTCATTATCAAAATTTCCATTTTCAAAAATTCCATATCAATATTATTTTCTTCTTTTTTTTTCTCCTCCCTTTTCCTACTCTTGTTTTCCCTACTTTCCTCCTTAGCGGGTTCCTATGTAGCTCTCACTGTTCAGGGACGCCCACCTGGGTCGCCCCAGATTCCATTAGCTGATTCTGAAGTGGAGCCAGCAGCCTTTGGACATATGTCTCCCATCATGACATCCCCCCATTCACCTGGAACATCTGGAAATACGGAAAGAATCACCAGCCCAGTGTTGATGGGGGTAAGAATCAGAAAAAGTCTTGGAAAGAGCCTGGCCATATAAGAATATCTGATGTTTTATCTTAAAATTTCTGGGTTGAAGTAGAGAGCATATGTGTGCATTAAAAATTTGGATTTTGGAAAACTACTATATTATTTAACCTGTTGGATAGTTCAGGAAATGAGAAATCAGCAGGATAACAAATGATGAAAATGCACTAGCCAAATTGAGCAAGGGAAACTTTTACATTACTTGCCTAGACAGCTTCCTTTTTCCAGTCAGTGCTATTAATGGCTAATATTTCTAAGAACCAAATATAGTATAAGATATGGAAAGTCATAAATCCCCTTCTGATCATTCAGCTTTAAAAAGTGACCCAACTATGGTTCTGTGCAAATGGGAATCCCTAGAACAGCCTAGAATAGAGGAATTTCTGTTATTATTGATAAATTGAAGAAAGGCACAAAGTTGTCTGTCTTTTAAAATTAATTTTTTAGCTTGACTTTTTCTTCTTTTGTTTCTTGTTTTTCAGGAAGAAAACAATGTAGTTCACAACCAGAAAGTGGAGATTCTGAGGAAGATGCTGCAGAAAGAGCAGGAGCGGCTACAGGTACTAAATTAGAAATGGGACCAGGGAGAGGTCAGAAAAGGAAATATGGTAAAGAGAGTTGAGAGCTGAAATGTCACAATCCCAATCAGTAGGATGTTAATTATGTTAGCCAGTACACTCACAAGAACAGTAAGTAGGCTTTGCTGTGCTGGTCTAGGCTTTGGTGATTAACAAAATATTTTTTATAATTTGCCAGTTGCTGCAAGAAGATTACAGCCGCACACCTGCTCAACGATTGCTTAAGGAGATCCAGGAGGCCAAGAAACACATCCCTCAGTTGCAGGAGCAGTTATCCAAAGCAACCGGCTCTGCTCAGGTAATTCTGTTATTTGAATGCTCTTCAACCTTTCAGGTTTCCCTTCGAGAAATATTTCAAGGGAGCTGACTAATAACTCTAAAGAAAATCATGTATTCCTGTGAACTTATCTTCTTGCAGGAAGCACTGTGTAGGAAATTACAGCAATGTTGATGACTAAGGCTCTGATTGAGCTCTGAAGTGTTTGATGTTTCCCAATTGTGTGCCTTTTAAAAAAATAATAATTTTCAAAGAAGTTAACTGAGTTTTTTTCTTTTTTGATACACTTCTAAGGAGTATTAAGGTATACCACATGTGTTCCCACAAAACGAGATGATTATATCTTCTATGGTTTTAATAGATTCCATCTGAAGTTGATATTGTTGGTAGAAGTAACAGAGGTGATGTCTTACTCGAAAAATAGCCAAGCATTTGTGATGGCAAATATTTTTAAGCTAGTTTTGTAGTATTCAAATTTAAACATTAATAATAATAACTAACATTTATATGACACTTATGGTGTGCCAGGAAATTGGTTTTCACAACAACTCTGAGAGATAGATGGCCATTATTATCCCCATTTTAAAGGTGGGAAAACTGAGTTAGACAGGGGTTAACTGACTTGCCCAAGGTCACATAACTAAATCTTTGTCTGAGGCCAGATTTTAACTCAGGTTTTCCTGACTCAAGGCCTGGCACTGTCTCTGCTGAACCACCTTCTTGCCTCTTCCAGTCTTCCATCTTAAAGCATAAAGTTGTATGTAATATTTACATGAGGTTGGGGGGAAAATAACTGTCCCTATATTCACATTGGTTTATTTGTGGTGGTTGTCCTTTGACTCCTCAGTGATGCTTTCATTACACACTGAAAATATCTATGTAGACATCTCTGTCAAAGAGGTGAGATAGATCATCTGCTCTAACACCCTTATTTTACAGATAGATAAACTGAGACTTGAAGGAGCAGTTACTTGCCCAAGGTCAAACAGCTGATTGATATAGATTTAGTTCCTCTGATAGTGTGAATGGACTGGATTCCCTAAATCATAGAAATTCAAATTAGGACCTTCAGAATTGCTGGCCAACTCCCTTATGTTATGTACAGGGAAACTGAGTTCTTGAGAAGTTAAATGACATGCCCAAGTTCACACAGGTAAAAAGTAATTGATCCAGAATTCAAACCCAAGTCTACTGGCTTCAAATCTATTGCTCTTTCCACTGTTCCCCAAAGCCTTGAGAATTTTATCTCAATCCTATTGATAGCATTTTTTTTTGTAATTTATAGGTAATGGACAACATACTTGGTGCTTATATATCTATCCAAAAATGTGGTCTCTGCCCTTTGTGGTTGTTTGGTTATAGAATGATGTCTAAAAGTTTGTAACTCAATGAAACTGTGAAGGAGGAAAGAAACTAATAAGCATTTTTATAACTCCTTCTATGTGCTAGGCATTTTGCTAAGTGCTTCACAGATATTATTTCATTTGAAGTTGGGGAGTTGATTAACTAGAAGCTACAGTATAGTAATTTAAATCCCAAGGAACAAAAACTAATGGATGAAAAAAGTAAATTACACAGTATTTTCACAGATTTCTAGGTCATTGTGTCTCTATGTTGCATTTGTAGCTTCAACCTGCAGTCACTTTAACTGATGATGTCTTATTTCAAAATCACAGTAATCATTAACAAATTGTTTTGTTTTAAAATCTTCCATTGTTTTATATGTATTTATATGTGCAATAACAACTACAACAAACATTTGTTGAGTGCTCACTCTTTGCAGAGCTTCACCTTCTGGAGTGTAATATGACTCTTTACTTTTGGCTGGTCCCTGTACCTTTGTCTTCTTATTAATGATTTTTTAAACACAAATGTACGCACATATATACATACATATATGCATATATTTTAAAATCTGTTCTTAGGATGGAGCTGTAGTTACATCCAACAAGACTTCTGGTGACTCCCTTCTACTCAGTGAAATAGAAGCAGACAGTGGTGATGGGTTGGGCAGAATTGATTATGGCAGTGGAGATGGTTCTCGACCCAATAGTGACATTGCAGACGTAAGTATTAAATATTTCAAACTTTAGTCATTATTCTTCCCCACATCTGCTTTTTTGTTTTGCTTTTAAAAATTTGTCTTTACTTATTTGGTTGATAGCAGGTCATAGTAGATGCTTAGATTTTAGATCTGAAAAGGAATTTAGATATTATCCAGTCTAAAACCCTTGTTTTACAAGTGAAGAAAATGATGCTTATAAAAGCTAAGTGACTTGGTCAAGATTATCAGAAAACTTTAATTTTGGAGACAGAGGATCTGGATTTCCCACTTACCTCTGAAAATGAACTTCAGTAAGTTATTTTAGTTTTATGGGCCTGCATCAGTTCTTCATCTGTAAAATGTAAGCATTAAACTACATGACCACTAAGGTCCCTTCCATCTCTAAATCTGTAATCCTATGAATTCAGGTTTCCTGGCTCTGAGCTCAGTCCTTTTTTACATTCTTATCTTATTATTTACACAGTTATTTCTTGCTTATCAACCCCACCATTATCTTCTAACAGAGCAGTATTATGAGCGAAAATCTTAAATGCAATACTGTATTCTGATTTCCAGTTTTGGAGCTAACTTTTTCCTATGCATACCTAATGAAAATTTCTTTCAGTGGGATGGAATTTCCCAATAAGCATTTTGTTACTGCATAGAGAGGTCAGTAGTATCATTGCTTTCCTACTGAACCAGGAGGTCATTTGCTGATATCTTATAAAAGCATGTTAATATTCCATTTGTGGTCAGTGACTCAGACCTGAATCATAGGGCAGACTGCCACTGCTGAGAGGAAGAGTCCCAGTATTACTATATATACTTCAATTATTAGGTTATGATTATCAATAGATGTTTCTTCATTAATCTCTCTATACATATACATGTCAACTACACATGAATATTTACCAGATTATTAAAAAGAAGCTGTAAGTTGAATCTTAAATCTCTTTCTTCTGTCAGCATATTAATAAGAAGATTCTGTTAAAGTTTTATGATATCATTGAGTTGGTCAAAACTACATTCTCTTTAAGGAATAGATGGAAGTAATGGATTAACTAGTCATTCAACCCATCCTTTGAGGACATTTCAAGTTTGACAACTGAAAAGAATACAGATAAATTGCCAAAATAGTGATAATCAACTGTAATGAATTATTCTATATGATGAAATTATTTTTATGTCCAGCTGAGATAGTACATGTATTTTTGGTCTACAACCGTTAATTTATTTTAGCAGATGCTTTCTTCAGTCTTGCTCGATAGTTACTGTATTTAGCATTCTACCCCTTTCTCACCTCTGTCAAAAAAAACCCATATGTATAATGCGTGTGTGTGTGTATGTGTATATATATATATATATATATATATATATATATATATATATATATGGATTATAGAGTTACCAATTTAGAACTGGAAGCAGCCTTATAAGCCATGTAATCCAACCCTTATATTTTACGAATGAAGAAAGTGAGGCTAAAAGATTAAATGACTTTCCTAGGGTCAGAGAAGTAGTTAACTATTACAGGTAAAATTTGAATTTGGATCTTCTGGACTCCCAAGTATAGCATTCTGCTTAATTCTTGGCAGTTTTTGGAGCATTTCATACTCATTAATTCATGTTCAAAGTGACTGAAGAAAGAGCTATGTTCTTTTGTTTGATTCACAATTAACTTTTTAGCTATTCTTAATTCTTTCTTGGGGGAGCTAAGTGGCACAGTGGATAGAGTACTGGGTGGGAATCAGAAAGATTCATCTTCCTGAGTTCAAGTCTGCCCTCAGACACTTATTATTTGTGTGACCCTGGGCACATCACTTACCCCATGTGCCTCAGTTTCCTCATCTGAAAAGTGAGCTGGAGAAGAAAATGGCAAGCCACTCTAGTATCTTTGCCAAGAAAACCCCAAATTGGGTCACAAAGAATAGGAAGAGACTGATACCACCACAACAACATTATTCCTCTCGTCAGATATTCGAACTACCTAACCTCATACTTCAGCCAGTCACCCCCAAACAAATGAACAAAAAATCAAAATCTTGGAATGTGGAGAAGATAAGAACTGAAGTTGTGTGAACGATGTCACCTTCTTTCCTCTTCTCTGTGTAGAGCACTTTTCAAATGTTAATTCGTTTTGCCTTAAGGAATTATATTTTTGAATTGTATAGAATTTAAAGCTAGAAAGGATATTGGGGATCTTGTAGCATCCTTCTATTATTTTATGCATAAGGAAATTGAGACTTAAAGAGATTAAGTGACTTGTTCATAGTTAAGAGATTTATCTGGTGGAAAATGCTGAACCTGCAAATTTTCCATCTAGTATACATTTCTCTACACATTACTGCCGTGGTGTTATTCATAGTGACTCAGCTGTGAAAATAATATGATTTATTTCATGGATTCATTAAAATAAATTTCACAGAGACTAAAACATTTCTAATGATGTTTGACCTATATTTCATTGTATACTTTTTTCCCCAAAAAAGCAATAAATTAGGATAAAGCTAGGTATTGATAGATGGCCTTTAAAAAAATAGATAGCTTTTAATAATTAGCAGGTCTATAACATTAATCATCTTTAAAGAGACTCGATATCAATAAATAGTTTTCTTTCTTTTCAAACAACTTTTTCCCATCCAAAAACTCTGATTTAGATCAAGGACTTTGGGCTAGAAGTCATTAGGTATAAACTTAGAGGTGATTTAGGAAGCTTTATTAAGGATCATCCAAGACTTTTGAATACTATGCAAATGAAATTTGAGCATTTCTTTTTGAAAGAAGTTGGTAAGACTCTTGAATAGGTAGACTTTAAACTTCAATGAGACATTTAAATTTGACTAGGTAAAGAGGCTAATTTTATACTTAAATGTATGGAAGTTTAATACTTCCTCTATATTGAAATTTAATTGTTACTTTAGATTAGAAAGTGAAGGAACTACAAAAAGCTTTCATCACTACTGAAGTCTCCTGGTGCTCTATCAGATTGTTTTGCTGGTGCCACATCCTTTATGATTCTCATGTTCTACAACTTTAGTCCCCCTTGTGCCCGTGTGCATATTGGTTGTTTCTGCACATATTTTGCCATCTGTTTTTCTTTATGGTTATTCAGCAGGTAGAAGGTTTACTTTGGTTATAACTCAAGGGTTTTTTTTTTTCCTGATTCGTTTTTGATGGGTCTACTGAAATGCAATGATTTTTACATTTTTTTTTTTTGCAGAGTCCTAGAGGTGTCTTGAAGGAAAGGATTTATCTAGAAGAAAGCCCAGAGAAAAGTGAGATGATGCCAGATAATGTGAGTATGTAGCCCATTCTGTATTAGTGCCTTCTGTTAATGTTTTCTGTGCTTGAGTGAAATAAACTCTGAGATTTATGTAAAATATACAATGAAGATTTTTAGATATTTTGATTATTTTTAAAGTTAGATTTGGTTAGTGTTTTGAAATAAAGAGTTATAACCAAAAATAGTATATAAAAATATTAAATGACGAGCAATATGAGGACTGTTCCTCTAATCAGCAGTAAAATCAAGGAAGTTAGATAGCCAAAACTGCATACTAACTTCTATTCTTTCAACTGAATTTCTTTTGAAATATTAGGCACTAAAGGTTAAAGCAGGTAGCCAAAATAACAGTTGATGTTTTAGGAAGGGTTAATACATGCCTTTACAGTATACAAAGAGGAACAACAAATCACATCAACCTCTCCATTATCCATATGTGAATCCACTTCTGTAGCTTCAGTTATAATTTCTGTGCAGATGACACCCAGATTTATGTCTTTGGTCCTGACCTCTCTTCACTACTGTAGTTCTGTGTTTTAACTGACTGCTATATATTTTCACTGGCTTATGTTACCAGTATCTGAAACTCACTCAGCACCCCGCACATAACTAGAAGCATTTCTTTTCCTGACTTCCATCAGTGATGCCATCATTTTCTTAGTCACTTAGACTCAAAATCTTTTTTGATTCTTCTCTCCCATCAGATCAGTAGCCAATTCCTGTTAATTTCTTCTTTTAATCTGTGATTTTTTTTTATCCTTCCCACTACAGAACACCCCAAGTCAGGCTCTTATCACCTCACTTCCATTCTGTAGGTATAAATTTATGTACCCTTTACTCCCTATCCCCAAGAAAAACCCCACTCTACTCTAGATTTTATAATTTCTTTGAGGGCAGGAGACACACCTTAAGTCATTTGCATTTCTCCCAATTGAAAATGGAAATAGGAACTACAGAATATGAATGTAAAGTAGTAAGTCTTAAGGTATTTAGTGTATATGAAATCACTTGGTATTATGTTGTTATTTCCACAAGCCACATATAAAAATCATTGATTTAATGAATACTTGAAAAAAATAAATTATCTTCCTACATTATCATTTTGAAATTTTACTTTCCACATTATACTGCTTCTACTTCATTTCAAACTCTTAACCACTTTTAGCCTGAGTGATTATACTAACCTCCCAGCCTTCATACCAACAAACTCTCTTTCTCTTCTCTAATCTTATTTTATTTTTTATTTTAGACAAATACTAAAAGTTAAACACATAATAAAAAAAGAAAAAGAAACATATTATAAACTTAAATGTTAAACCTAAATATAAAATAAGAAAAGAAGAAAATGTTATGTGCACAGCAGAAAGTAGGAGAGGCTTCAGAATATATAGCAGTAACTTTCCATTTCAAGAAAGCCTAGATATTAAATACTGCACATTATATTGAAAGCTATCCATCTTTTCTTTTCTTCCTTGTAGGTTTTCTTTTGTTCTCTGCTGTACACTTTTTACTTTGTTCTTTTTTTCCCCACTTTCTCCCTACTTTGATCTATCTTTTGCCAGAAGAATTGTCCTAATGCACATGTATGACAGCACAACTTCCTGTTCAAAGACTTTCAGGCATTTCCTATTGCTTATGCTACAAAATAAAAATATTTTAGCCTAGCATTATGCTAACTGGTCTTCTGCTACAAATCTACCCTCCCAATTTTATTTCACATTATTCCCCTTTGTGTACTCTATATTTTTAAATATGTTGTCTTCTGCATCCACAGTCATGTGGGCTGACGTGCCCCTTCCTCATGTCTGCCTTCCAGAATATTTCATCTTCTGTGACACATGGAATTAATGTTATTATTAATGCCTAAATTTAGTAGATGCTTTATAAATGCTGCATTGAGTCATGTTGTTTCTCTGTTCAGAAATATTTAATGGTTCCCTATTCCCTATAAAATAGCCTCAGTTTAACATTTATAGCCCTACTAAGATTGTCTCCACTATACATTTTCAACCTTATCTTCTATTCATGGTACAGTGGAAAGAGCTGTGAACTTGGCATCAGAAGATCTAGGTTTGGCTTGAGCCCATACCCCATTATTTCCCCCTCAAACAAATGGGACCCAAATTCTCTTGGGCCAAGTGGCAAAGGTCTTGACTCCTGAAACTGCTTCCTGCTGGCGGGGGGTATAGAGATCCCCTTGAAGGGGGGGTCCAAAAGAGAGGGTTGACTGGAGCACAGACTGCATCGAGAGGACGATGAGGGGACATTGGCTGTTACCTGCTGTTTACTGCCAGCTGTAGATGAGTGCCTGTAGTCTGGAAGACACAAATCTGACAGAAAAGACTGCAGGGCCCAGATATAGGGAGAAGTAAAAGTGTAAGAGCCCCATTAAAATCATTTACATTTGACCTGTTACTTTTTCTAAAGTTTAAGTAACACTTTTGCGGGTAGGAATTTTCCACCTCTGGGTTTAATAGTTACACAAAGGAATTTGCCAAGAGACTGACTTTCACTTCAGTTATCACTGAAATTTTCCTCCCCAAACCAAACTGAAGATGTTTCTTATTAATTTCAGTTTTTTGGGGGTATTGAATGACTACACATTCAGGTCAAAATAGCAAGATCTCACACACTTGTGTTGTGCTTGTATCTTTTGCTGTCTATTTGCTCTGACTATAGAAATTTGCCAACCTTGCTGTATGAGATCCACCTCATAGCCAGACTCAGGAATAGCCAGGTGGGTAACATTCCTTTTCAAAGGAACATAATAGGGAAACTGAGCCAGGAGATCCCATCTTAGACTGAGGCTAAAATTGTCCTCTCAACTTTTCCCAAAGTTGACTTCTCACCAGTATCACATTCTGTCTGAGTAGCTTGTGGCATTTCTCTCAGATGGTGAATTATTGATAATCTATGGATTATTATGATCCATAAGACAATTCAAAATAAAATAATTTATGGTGCCATGAGCTTTTATCTCAAACGGTGTTTCACTAATTGCAGCTTAAGGGGAAAAAAATCCAGGATTGACGTCTCAAATTTAGATTTGTCCTGGTGTAAAAAGCCAGTCATCAGAGATTGTTTCTGTATAGTTGCAAATTCTTGGCAAGTTATAACCCAAACAAACTTTTTGGCAAGTTTACACATTAAGACAATAACTAACAATAGCCAAATTGTTTTTAGCAGTAACCAAATTATGAAGTTGCTTGACGTAACTGATACAAAAAGTTCACCAATTTGAAACTTAAAACAAACCCATTACCAATCAGGTGACTTCAGTTTTGTTAAATGCATTTCTAAATTACTTTATGCAGAGAATCAGCATCTCATCATTAACAGTTAAAACTACAACTTTAAAAGAGTGTGCTTACTGAAGTTTGGAGGCTAGCTTCTTTACCTTGACCCATTCCCCTTCCCTCTCTCCCTACGGCCACTGGGGTAGAGGTAGGGGTGGGGGGGGGGTGAGCAGGATGTGCTGAACCTGAGTGATGCTTCCAGGGAAAGGTTACCCTCAGGGCCATTGCCAGTGGGGCCTGTGCTGTAGCTACTGCTCTCCCCTCCTTCCTTTCACCAGGTGTGGGAGGGTGAATTTGAAGGTGAGGGGGGAAGTATGAAACTTTCTTCTCCTATGAGAGGGGTTAACAAAGACACCTTCTTGACTCTAGGGAAGGGAATGGGAGAAGGGAGTGACAAGGGTTGTAAGGAGGTGTGATCACAAGAACCTCTAGAATCTGCTAAGATGTTTTTAGCTGTTCTAATTTTTCCCTGTATCCTCCATGAAGGAGGATCCAGGGGTGTAGAGGGAAGAGAGTAAGTAAGCCTCAAGGAACCAAAAAGCACCTGCAGTTTTCCCCAGTTCCCTAGCACAGAGAGAATTGGCAGAATTGAGCATATGCTTCCAGATAGGGTGTCTGTCCTTGTCTTCTATGCTATGGAAGGTGTGCTCAGGTCCATGGCCTTGAACCAAACCAGTGGACTGAGCCTGAGAACGTCAGGCTGAGTTCAAGACAGCCTCGCAACTATCTGCCCAAAAGGCACCTCCAAGCCTTCCTAGGTGCTTGGAGTGCAACCCCAACTGCAGGGCACGAAAGAGATTGGGGAGAGGGGAGAGGCTTACATACCTTCTAGTCCTGGCTGGAGAAGAGCTTGGGATTAGGCAGTTTTTGTTGGTCAGGGAACCATATGTTGAGGTTTAGGGGTGCTGGGACCCCAAAATCACAACATGTGGGTTCTGCCTTAATGAATTCAACCCAAGCCTTCTTTCAGCCAAAGACAAGGTTTATTAGAACATCCGCTATATTGTCCAGACTATTAAGGAATCAGAACACTGTGAACTACTGGCTAGATTATGAGAATCTGAGCCTTGGCTAGACCTTTGCCCCTTACCCCAAAAGAATTTGGTTCCTATTTGTTTGAGGGGGGAATGATGGGGTACGGGCCCAAGCTGAGACCTTTGGCTCTCACTCCAAAAAAATTTGGGTCCTGCTTATCTATGAGCCCTAAAAAAGCCTTGGACTGCCTTTGAATTCTCTTACTTGATCAAGGAAGTCTCTAGCCTGAGGCTATAATCCTATCAACTGGCCTTTCCTTAATAGCCTAAGCCTAATCTCCAGTTCTGTGTTACCCCTCCACTTCCTACCCTTGATCCTGCCTAGACCCCTCCTGTAGTCACCCCAGCTTACTGGCCATTCCCATCAAGATACTCCTTCTCCCAAACCCCTCCTCCAGTCACCACAAATTGCTTGGCCACTCCTAGATCCCTCTCACAGTCTTTCTGTATATAAAGTCCCTGTGGCCTCTGTTAAGGTGCTGAGATTCTTAAAATCTAGCTGAGGCTCAGATTCTTACAATCTATCCAGTAGCTCACAAATGTTGTGATTCCTTAAGAGTCTGGCCAATGTGTCAGATCTTTAACAAACCTTGTTTTTGGGAGAGAGAGAGAGAGAGAGAGAGAGAGAGAGAGAGAGAGAGAGAGAGAGAGAGAGAGAGAGAGAGAGAGGGAGGGAGGGAGG